CCTTCCTTCCTTCCTTCCTTCCTTCCTTCCTTCCTTCCTTCCTTCCTTCCTTCCTTCCTTTCCCTTGCAAATGGGGTTAACTAGGAGAATTAGAAATCCCTAGAATACTTCTAGAATACAATGTACTATGAACTTTAAAAAATGCCCATTGCTTTCTAACTGTACTACTTTCCCAGTTTCACACACAAAAAGATACTTCTCCATAAATCTTTCTCTGTCAAATTAAGCAGGAGGCCTAGCTATTTACTCCTTGAAGCTGTGGAAGATTTTTGAATTCATAGTAAAAATACAAAGTCTTAAAGTCATTGAAAAGGAAAGACCAACTTACCGCAAAAGTTCAAGCGACGTGGTTATTTTAGGAGTCTACTCACAGATTTATTGCTTAAAAAAATACATTGATTTTTCTTCCTTCCACAAAATTTCAGCAATTTAACACTGTTTCAAAACTGGACAGCGGAGAGTATTACTGCGAAGCCCGTAACTCTGTTGGATTTCGCAGGTGCCGTGAGAAACGAATGCAAGTAGGTAAGCATGAACTACTGGGTGGAACAGATGGCTTGCAGTTAGGAGGTGTAAGGAGTCGCGGGGGGCAGGGGGGCGGGAGGAGCAAGGGGTGGGAAAGGGCTGAGTGGTTGGGAGGATAAACTGGAGGGAATGTTTAAAACCAGCTTGATGTAAGGAGCAAAGGTGCTTTTTTTAAATCCATATACAATGCTAAGTACTCTTGGCTTGTTTGGGAGATGGATTAAAAACAGCATCTTTGCTCCTTGCATCCAATTCTGGCTCTGCCATGTACTAGCTACATACTCTGCGGCGAATCATTTGACCTCTGTGCCTCAGTCTCCCCAAAATGGAAGTAATAATATGCCATCCTCACAGGGTTGTTATGAAGATGGAAATAATATTTGAAAGTGTTAGAGTAGCACTGGCATATTGTGAACACTATATACGTGTTGTCTGTTTTACTTGTTACCAGGTTGTTGTTGTTAATTTTGTTGATCTTGGGAAATACTATGTTAGACTTACTGTAAAGTAGGTTCTCAAAAAAGATGTTGAATATAATTACAGATCTAGGTTGCTATAAAAAGTAGCTGCTGTATATTATGTTACACAAAATGAGCTTCTTAAAATCCAATAAAATTAGGGCTCAAGAATCTTTTCAGATTGTAAGAGTTTCAGAACAAGCATATTATTTTTTCATTTTATTTTTAATAATTTGGTTTCATTCTTCCTGTGTGAAAACTGTGTTTTGAACATGGAGTGTAATAGAGAGGGCTGAGCTGAGATGGTACCCCAAGGGGTTAAAGGTCGCTCCGGAGGGCTGCACCCTGAAGCAGAAGACTGAGGTTCCCCTTGGTTCAGGAGCTTGTCCTCAGCATTTTGGGGTCAGAAATTCATTTTTCCAATGTGCTTAGGGGTATGCAGATATGTGTGCAGTAATGTGTATTGTCTAAGTACAGTTAAATTCAGCACTATTTTTTAAAGAAAATATAATCTTGTTAGATTTCAGGATATCCTAAAGTATAAGATATTCAATAGCGTATTTTAATTTCCACAAGCAAGTTTGAATTTCCAGTGTTTTTATTTTGTTTTTTTAAATTCAGGGATACATGTTATCCACCAAATTCATTCAGGTGTTGATATTGATAGTCAAACAGGAGCATTTGATTAATTATTAGAAACTATCTCTCTCAATGCTGCTTTGGAGTTATCATTAGGAAATTTCATCAGAATCTGTTATAAAAATTAACACAATCCAGTGTTTTCCTAACTTCATTCATTCATATATTGTCCTCATGGTTTTTACCATAACCTGTATCACCTACATTATTACTATTTATTTTTTCTTTAAATGGTCGTGTTTAATTTTAATGCCTAATTTACCCACCTCTTAAGAAGTAATATCTGTGATATTATGGTTTTTACATTCTAGTTACATTTTTCTAGCAGATACAGAACAGATAAAATACATAACAGATAAAATTTAGTAGTTTGTGTTTTGTTAGTAGTACCACTTTAAGTTACACATGATTTCCACATATCTACTCTTTCTGGTATAGTTAGTTTAAAAGTTAAAATTAGTTTGTTTAATGCTCATCCATTGTTCCTAGGTATTTCATGCCCTTGGTTTGGAATTTATATAATTTGAAATACACAAGAATTCCTGAAATCTCATGTTCAGTTTTCTTTTTGAATTATCATTAATAACATAACCAAAAGCAGAACCTGTGAACTGTTCTAAAGAAGTTCTTTCTGAAGTATAGATCAGCAAATTATCTTTTGAACCATGTCCTGAAAAGTGAGTTATTTGCTCAGACTTCAAAAGCATGAAACTACCCATGTCTGTGGTACAGCTGCAAACAGAAGCTGTTGGAACTTTTTCAGTTGAAGGACTGCATCCGTCCTCCTATTGGACATGAATTCACTCCTGGTTCATGTTGCATTCCAGATGATCTCAACGTGAGTGGCATCATAGCGGCCGTGGTGGTAGTGGCCTTAGTGGTTTCCATTTGTGGCCTTGGTGTGTGCTATGCCCAGAGGAAAGGCTACTTTTCAAGTAAGTGATTTCACCCTTGACTAGACAGATTCCCCTTGGGTAGAGAGTTTTCTTATGCGACACCGTTTCTCTTAAGAAGCAAGAACATTTTTCTGGAGACTATTTTTCGTTGCTTTTTCTGTAGTAGAGGATATCCAAGATGACCTGCAGGTGGGTCATGAAGCACCTTGGCAAACATAGGGAGCAAAGGCAGCGCTGCCTCAGCCCAGCGTTCCGGGAGGCACCACTGGATACACAGGAGGCTCCCTGGCGTGGCCTAGTGCAGCGATACCAAGACATAGTCAACGTGGCTGGGTGTTCACCACGCATTTACATGCATTGAAGATCCTTTTCAGTTAGAAATTGTATATCTCAAGTGGTAAATTGATTTCTGGTTTTATGATGAGATATTTCATTGAATTCTGTCAACTGTTTTATCAATGGATAACAGTGGAATGTTGAATGTCAAAGTTAGCACAACTGTATGTAGAAGAGAATTATTCAGTAAAAACTAGCAACCTATTATACGACAGTTGCTTCTGAACAAGGTTTTTAGTTCTTCATGTTTAGACCTCTGGTGATGCTAAACCCCAATTTGGTGATAGGTTTGATGTAAATGTGTGAGATTTAAAATGAATCTGTTTTATTCTCTTAATGCATTTCCTTTTTCCTTAGTCTTTAAAATAACCCGAGAGCTCAAAAGCTGTAGAACTCCCCCATCAAGTCCATTGGGAATAGTGTATGAAGTAGAATTTTTAATGGAATAATACATAAATTAACAGCATAAACTAGTTTTAGATCCACTGTCTCACGGTGAACATTGATTTTGGAGTTTAGGTTTAAAAAAAATATTCTATACAAAAATAAAACTTAAATTTAAAAGGGGTTTCTAATAACACCTATAAGTAGATATTGTCATAAAATGTTTCCATGAACATGGTCTCAAGGATATTCTTTATAGTTAAGAACTGTTCTGTGAATGAATAATACTTGTTCTTTTGCACGGTACTACAAACTAGTCCTGTGTAACTTTATGAATGGAATCGGCTGAGTCCCCCTGCTGGTCACCAGTGAAAGAACAGACAAAAGATTGCTCAAAATTCTTGTCATCTTATTCTCTACTTGCAAAGAATATATAAGTATTTTTTGAAGATTTGGTAAACATTTTTTCTTAAAAAAATGAATTAAAGAATTGATTTGGGTGTTGGTAGTTCATTAGCTAAGAATGTTACTCCATTTTCGTCTGGCAGAAAATCTAAGAGAACCATTTTCTTGAACTTGCATTTCAGACAGGGTTGGGCAAACTACAACCTGTGGACCAACTCTGGCCTGCCACTTGTTTTTTTTTATGGCCCATGAGCTAAGAATGGTTTTTACAGATGAACACTGGCAATCTATTTGAAAATAGGGAACATTAACTTTGAACCTTAATTAAGAGGAATGTTATCTCCCCCAAAGGAGAATTCCATTATTCTGTTAACACAAGAATTTATTATTATATTTAAAATTTTAACCAATAAAAGTTTTCGTAAGTTTGTTTTTTCTTTCTATATAATTACCTATGTGATATCCTCAGTTTCACCTCTTGGCCCACAAAGTCGAAAATATTTGCATGTAGCCCTTCACAGAAAAAGTCTGCCAACTCTTGATTTAGAAGGTACAAATGTCAGCAAGTGAGAATCAAGATCGAGAAAAAGAAATGAAGCTTAAACTTAATGTTTATATGGATCTGTATCGTGCCATTTTAACTCTTGTACTAATGATATATACTTATTCTTTTGTAGAGGGAACCTTCCAGTAAGTATACTTTCTTAAAATGCATGCTTTTCTTCCAAACCAACTAATTTTCTGTTAGTCATCTGTTCAAAGCCAAATGTGGAAAGTTGAGTTAATCTGTGAAGGTTTTTAATCCTATGGGAAGTGACTGTGACTCAAGTTCATCAAGAAATATATCCCACCTCATGCCTACTTGTCAATGATGTTTGACTACCTAGAGACGAAACACATTTGTTAATTTGACTGCGTAGGCATTTCCATAGTATGACTATAAAAAATAAATTTGCCGTCATTTGCTAAATAGAAATTTTCCAAGTAAAATGTAAAATTTATTCAACAATCATGTTTATATTTAATTAAATACTGATTCTTTGCCCAGCACTATCCTAGGGACTTGTGGTGACACAGCAGCGAACAAAACGGGGGGACACACATCACCCCATAACCATAGTCACCACATAAAACTTTCTTTCCTTGGGAAAAATGAAATTTGAGATTATAATCTCAAGCCTTCAAAATGTTAAATGTCTGCAAGTCTCTGTTTTGCATATTCCACAAAAATCCTTAGTATACTAGCCCTAGGCTACAACCAGATACACAGGGCTTCACACACACACACACACACACACACACACACACACACACACACTAATATTGTGTTGCATGGCTTTCTCTGTGGATGCTGCCTATAAATAAAGGATTTCAGTTGGGATTTCTGGCTTTTTCTTGTACCTGGCTACAAATTTTCATCTTCCTGTTGAGAAAATGTATGGAGGTAACATTGACTGAATGAGGGTATGTGTTTCAGACTTGGAAGTGATCATTGTACTAAATGTCTTTTATATTCCACAAACAGGAAGAGTAACTCTGCATCTAAAGCCACTCCAATGGGTCAAAATGTGAGTATTGTTAAAGTGTATTTATAGAATGGATGTGTTTAGGGAATAAGGCAAGGGAAGGAAGTAATTATATAGAAGTAATGGGTTTGCACTTTTATTTCTTTATTTATTTAATATATTTTTATTGATTTCAGAGAGGAAGGGAGAGGGACACAGAGATAGAAACATCAATGATGAGAGAATCATTGATCGGCTGCCTCCTACAAACCCTCCACCCCCAACCTCGACCCCACATTGGGGATCGAGCTTGCAACCCAGGCAGGTGCCCTGACTGGGAATTTATCCATGACCTACTGGTTCATAGGTCAATGCTCAACCACTGAGCCACGCCAACCAGTGGCTTTTCACTTTTAATATACTTTGTACTAGTGTCTACCATGGCCTTTCGAAGGAGCTGAATGAATGTTAGCTTCCATCCCTGTCTGCAGTGGTATGATGCAGTTGCTCGGCATTTGTAGAGCAAGGAGGCTTTACTACACCATTATTTTTTCTTGTGGTGTTTTCTATTATTAGTCAGCCTTAGGGCTGGCATTATCCACTTCATTTTATAGATGAAGAGATTAAGACACAAGTTCTCAGAGGATTACAGTGGCTGAGCTGGGAACCAGGCACCTCGATTGTGTCAGCTTGACCAAGCAGCTCACTTCCGCACAGCTGTGGTTCCAGGACACTCCTTGGGTTAGTGAAAGCACTGAGAAATTTTAAGGCTGTAGAATATCCTCTGCTATTGCTGAAAGGAGAATCTCGGAAATCCTTGAAAAGATGCAATTATCATCTAACTGAGATGGCTAAGGGAACATAATTTAGACATTTGGACCCTGGTGTACTTCTGCGTTTGTAAACCCGACAGTAAAGCAGTAAATCCATTGCTCAGATTTCATAGCTCTTTGGATGTATATTCAACTCTCTATGTTATTTTTCAAGAACACAGTGTGTATGGGGGTGGGAGGTTAGGTTTCCAATGCTTTTAGAAGCCTAAGCCCTTTCTAGAGAAATAGAGCACTGGTTCTCTGAACTCCTTAGTCTTCTATGGCAGGGATTCTCTTAAATTTCCTCTCACTGGAGCTTGGGGTGGGGCATGGGTATCAGTATTTTAAACACTTGGGTGATCCTGCTGGACACTAATGTTGAACACGCACAAACTGCTCTATAGAGTTTTTTCCATCCAAAGATTTTTTTATTGTTAAATTATTTATTTACTTTTCAATTTATTTTTTTATTGATTTCAGAGAGGAAGGGAGAGGGGGAGAGAAATGGAAACATCAGTGATGAGAGAGAATCATTGATTGGCTGTCTCCTACACATCCAATACTGGGGATCGAGCCTGCAACCCAGGCATGTGCCCTGACCAGGAATCGAACCGTGACCTCCTGGTTCAGAGGTCAACACTCAACCACTGAGCGACACCAGCCGGGTGTTATAATTCATATATAATGAATTCTTATAATTTCACATAATTCTGTTTTTTTGGGGGGGGAGGGCTGCCCTGTGCATTGGATAATGCTTAGCAGCACCCCTGATCTTTATCCACTAGATGCTGTAGCACCCCCCTCGTAAATAAGAGTTACCCTGCTCCAATTCCCACTCCTATTGCCTTACTGTTTAGGAACAGTTTCAAAGACAGTGTCTCCTAGTATTTAATTATTTAATTCCCCATAAAATAGATTTAATTCATTATGTGATCGTTTGAACCTGTAAGATTCTGATACTCATAAGATATATGTATTTATTTAAATATAAATTAATATTGTATATTTAAACTTGGTTTTTCTTTCTTTTCATAGGATTTCAAGCACTCAAAATCCTTTATAATTTAAAAGAATTCCACCTCTGAAATACACCAATACCACAGTTGTTCACAAGTTATTAAAAGATTATAACACTCTGCTTTGTCTTACATTTGCAAAGAGGTACATAAGGAGATGAAATTGGTATTTTATTAAAATTTTTATGAACACTAAATCGCTTGAAATCGTTATTTTAAACAGTCTGGGCTTCTGGTCAAGATGGCAGAGTAGGAAAACACTATACTCACCTCCTCCCACCCCACAGCAACATCAAAATGACAACTAAAGTGCAGAACAACCAAGATTGAAAACCATCTGAAATCTAGATGAACAGATTATGTATAACTAAGGATATACATAAGCCACTTCCAGGCTGGTCCCACACCCACATGTGGCCATTAAAAACTGGGAGGACATCGCAGCTGCATAGGTCCCCGCTGAG